ATTTTATCAAAAATAGAAACATTATGCATTATAAAAGGAATTTAATTAATTATTTTTCTACTTTATTTTTCTACTCTCTCTAAGTACATACGCAATTCTACTGCGATCAAGAAATCATGTGTGTATCTTTTTTTCAGAAAATTTTAAAAATTTAGCTTTTTTTTCTTATAATTTTATACAATGATTGTAAAATTGCACAAAATCTTATATATTTATTTACGAATGCATTGCGTAATTATGTATCGATTTCTATCCGTGCGATTCTTCTCTGTAGAATTAAGGAAATATCGATTACATAAAAATAAAAAGAATACAATTCGGATAAATTTTCTCTTAGTCTTTGTACTTAAAAATATCGGTTAAGCATGTGTCATATCATATTATTTTACAAAAAATTATTTTACAAAATTATTTTACAAAATTATTTTACAAAAAAATAATTTTACAAAAAATATATATAATTTTTTGAAACATTTTATAATTGTATTGAATTATTTTACAGAAATGTAGAACTCAAACTGATTGGCTGGCTGATTGCTATGAATTGCCGTTATGCACATTATCTTGTCTTCTTCTACCATATACTGTAAGTGCATAGCGGACACACCCTAAATAAATCGCAGAATAATACATAACTTCACGTAACAATATCATCAGATTATATTTTAAAAAGCACTAAAACCATTCATTCGTTTTTATCATCAAACCAAACACGGTGCGAATTTATATGGTTTATTATGATTTTTTGATGAGTACGACGTGCATTCATTCATCATAATGAATACTTTCTATATTCTTTACATCAGTAAGTACGGATTATATGATATTAATTATCGATATAATTTTATATTTAAAAAATAAGTGACATTTTTCTATTCTAACCAAAATGCCGTTTTCCAGTCATACTGATATTTGGAATATCCGATTGTGGACGAGTTCATAAAATCCCAATCAGTACAGTAAGTTTTAATGCATTTTATTTGCTAGAAGTTGTTAGTAAATAACAGTCAGATTTCAATATTTTCAATTTATCAATAATATAATAATATTATTACAGTATTTGACATTAGGGAAATGTTCGAAATGAATGACAATTCGAAATTGAGTTTTAATATTTTCGTCTTCTATTTAAAACGCAACATGTATTTAATCATTAAAGTTAAATTCATTTATGAAAATATTTTATTCTTGATTTTTTAATTATAATAAAAATGCATATGTATAGCCATTCGTATTAATTTTTAGCGCATTCAGTCAGTTTAGCGCATTCGTATTTGCATATGTTTCACGCTGAATGAAATGCATATGTAATGGTTTGTTTTACAATTAATTTATTAATATGTATTGATTTATGAATTATTAATAAAAAAATGTTATCAAATTCAAAAAAATTTTTTCTCTTTCTTTCTTATTTTCTATTTTATAATAATATAAATTATAATAACAATAACAGAACAATTAGTATTCAATACTTGAATAGAAGAATTGCAATAAATATGCATTTACGCTTAAAGTACTGACAGACATTGGTTAGGTAATAGTATTGTTTTTTTTAAAACAATTACAGAATCAAAGAAATATGCGTTATACTGAAGACGCTAATTGTCGCGGTGTTTTACCAAATACTTTACAGAAGAAAGCTGTTGAAAAAACAAGTAACATCGCGCAGAAAGCGGCGCAGGAAGCGAAAGCCGCGTCCGAAGCGCAGAATATCGCTGGGCAACAAGCAGCTCGTCAGGTATTTAATTATGTTTTTTGAAAATGTTTTGCTTAAACATTTAACAACAATACAAATATGATGTAACAAAGAAAAAACCGATGTAAGTCGATTCAAGTTATTCGTGTAAATATACATTATAATTTAATTAAATACAGTCGAACTCTACGTTTCAACTCTAGTATTAGGTCCTCTTCAGTGTAATTGAATACGATGATAGCAGTCCATAGTGTTGCAAAATTAAGTTGTATAATATTTGAGTCGTCAGATCATCATTAAACTATGTCAATGTTTGAAATCTTCTAAGTCATCTGTTGTATTTTACTGAATAAAACAAACCTGTTAGAAATATTTTACTAAAAAGAAAGTTAATATAGTCAAATTAAAAGTTATTATAAGTCAAATTTGATAAAAATCTTACACAGATTCAGATTAACAATGATCTATTACAAATATGATGTGACTACAGAGATAAGAGAAATGTCATTACTAAGTGAGAGGCCAATTCACAATGAGATAAAAAATGTGATGTTTCAATAAACAAAGTTCTAGTAACATATAAATAATAAATACTCAAATTTTTAAAATATCTTCAATCTTTCGCGATCAAATCACAATATAATGCATTCAATAAGTTAGTGTCGATTTGCACATTTAATCCATTTTTTTATAAAAATAGCCTCTGAAATTAGTCGTTTATTGTAATTCCAGTATCATTACGTTGTTACAATCAAACTCATAGTTTTGCTCAACCCTATATTTTGTGATAATCGACTGTGTTGTGGTATTTCTATTAATGTGTTTCGATGTTCGCTAATTTTTGTCTTTAACAATCTTTTTGTTTGTCCCACGTAGGATGCGTTACATTCTTGACAATTAACTATATTAGATCGAGAGTAAGTTGGTAATTTATCCTTCTGATCTTTTGTGAAGGAGCTTAATTTATTGATATCCATATAGGCCAATTATATAAATTGATTATCTCTGAAGAATCTTTTAAATTTGTCCGAAATGTATGGTATATAAGGTATTGCGAAAAAATTAAACTTTCCCCCTGTTTTGTTTATTCCTGTTCGAATCTACTACTAAATAATTATCAAATTGTTTGAACTTAGAAATTAATCATTTTTTAATATTCTTGAAAATTAAATTCAATGAGTATCTATTTCTTAATAATACTTTAATAATGAATTCAATATTTTTATTATAGAACATAGGATGTGATAATAGTAATAGGTACTCTGTCAATTAAATTAATGATTGTTTTTACTTTATGACATAACAGATGGCATAAAAAAAAGTTTAAATACCTACTCAAAAATATAGGTTTTTAATATCAATTGTATATTAATTTATTATCATATTTTATTAAAATCTAATCTAAGAAATTTAATTTGAAATGATATTCATTAAATGTATTTAATATCAAAATTTTCTTTTCTTGAATAGATAGAGCAATATCATTCACATATCTATAGTAAAAATCTAGGATAAATTTTAATTTATTAAGTGAAGCCTTTTCCAAATCTTGCATAACCTTGTATTAGTTGCTACAGGGGATTTAGGGATCCCGTGGGTACTTCAAAAGATTGTTTATAGAATTTATTATTAAAAGTGAAATACATAGATTCGAGCACTAATCTTATTGCGTCAATAAATTTATTTTTTGGTACATTAATATTGTTTTCTATATTTAATCACTTTCTTTCTACACTCTCAATGACTAAATCTACTAGAACATTGGTGAAAAGAGATACTACGTCGAATAAAACAAGGACGGAGTTATCCGAAATTTATTTGAGATAACTCATTAGCTAATTGGAAGCTATTTTTTTACATGTTCTATCGATCCTTCTTACAAGCATCCAAAATCTTATATATAAAAAAACTGCTAGATTATGCAATGGACTTCCTATAGAAGAAACAATAATATGTAATTATTTTGTGGATTTTAGGATAACTGTATGTTCTCGATAATGTTGCATTAGATGAATTAAGAAAATTATATACTATGTCTGATCAATCATGAATTCTCGCCGCTTCCATGTCTTTAACAATGTTTTTAAATCCCTCAATACTTTGTTGATCGAATTGGACTTTAAGATAGTATATCCGTGCTTAGTAAAATTTCCATTTTTTTTATATTAATATAATATAATCTGATTTATCGATAACAACTATCACATTTCCCTTATCTGCACGCGATAAATAAATTTGTGGATTGTCTTTACTAAATTGTTTGGTCACAGCTAAGGAATCTAATATCTCATCATCTGTTCTGTTACATTTTTAATATATTGTAAGTATGGATAAAACTTGTTTCTGAGTTGTATTTACATTGTTGGTCTTTAGCTTTGATAAATTATTTTCTATATGTTTCATAAACTCTAACGTGATAGATTCCATATTGCAAGGAAGGAGACAGAAATTTTCACCTAGTTGTAATAAATTTTGGATTTTTATCGGAAAACTTATACTAGAGAGATTTATAAACCAATTATTGTTGAATATTTTAAATTCAAATTTGTTTTGATAATATTTAGACGGATTCAATTCTACTTCAAAAGTATAATTATTAAGTAATTCAACTGGCTTTTCAAAACTATTTTTAGAAAGTGTATTATTAATATTGGAAATTGCGTTATTGTTGTGTGAAATCTCTTCGTGTACTGTGTAATAATATTTCCGTTTCAATTTTATCAATTCGGTGATTGTAAAGTATCACATCAAAAATGTAAATTATCAACAGAAATGAATAGTTTGCTGTCAAATTACTCAATCTTAAAATATTTGATACTTTCTATCATTATAGACGACTCAAATGTAATATAAATCAATTTACTAAAAACATAATTAATAAATTACCATTCAACACATACAATGAATTTTTCCATTCTCAGGACTATTCATTACATAGATTGCACGGCAGGGAGAAAACGCATGTTAAATAAAATAAAATGGTTGGAATCAAAAGATAATAATCAGATCATAATATTATACAACTTAATTTTGCAACACTATGGACTGCTATCATCATATTCAATTACATTAAAGAGGATCCAATAGAGTTGAAATATTTGTCTGTATTTAATTAAATTATAATATATATTTACATATAAATAACTTGTGTCGGCTCATATTGACTTTTCCTTTGTTTTATCATATTTGTGTTATTTATCTGAGGAACCTTTATTTATTTAAATTTTATATTTAACAACAAGTTTTAAGGTGACTTCAAAATATTTTACAATATTTTGCTCGTCTGATATTTTTTTAATATCTTTTTTTTATATATGGGACTATTAACAAATTAACAAATTAAGAGAATAATACTACTTTTAATTTTTTCTTTATTCCGTCATCAATCTATATACCAGTGGATATTATCTGATAAAACTTTGCGCATAAAATTGCTATAGAATTAGCGGCACGCGAGCGATCTGTGTTGTTAATTACATTCGTGCAAGTGTGTTACGATCGGTATTTTGTTAAGGAAATGCTACGTGTACGTAATAGGTAAAGGCTCAACTGGCAGAGAAGGCGGTTCAAGCTGCGAAAGCCGCCGAGGCGGCCTTATCGGGCAAGGAAGCGATGGTTGAACAGCTGCAAGAGGAAGTGAAGGAAGCAAGATCGGTGGTTCAAGAAGAAACATCTTCCTTGCAACAAGCGCAGGCTAACGTCAATGTCGCAGTGCAAGCGGCGCGGCAGTCACAAGATCAGGTACATAATAGGTAAAAATCAAGATATATATAAAGGTATATAAATCACAATACAAATTAAATGCAAATAATATGTAACATTAGTATGACATTTTGCACTTTGTTTTCAATTTAAATTACTTAGTGTATTTAAATAGTCTTTGTGTTTGAATTTTAACATTAGCCTTATTTAACTCTTCAGATTCTTTGTCTTTTTCTTTATTTCTTTATATATTTAACATGATTCATTTACCTTGGTGAATAATATTTAACCATATAATGCTTGATGAAATTGATAAAATATATAATTGACTATATCGGTCATTATCTGCAAATCGTCGACTTAATACTGACTTTAATACATATTAGTTTATAAATTTTAGCAATCTGTTTAATTAAAAATATAATTGTATAAATTTATAAAACGTTTTAATTATGCTTTATCTAAATTGATTAAATTGATTCTGTGCAATTCTATATACTAACAATTTTTTAAAACTGTAGCTGAAGACACTAATGAACGCAGTGCACACAGCCAAATCGAATGCGGCAAATGCGCAGGCAGTTGCAAATGGGGCACAGAGATCGCTGCGAGAAAAAGAGGAATTGCTGGAAGCAGCCAAGAGGCGAGTGGATGAACTATCAAATCAATTGCAAAGTGCTCGGCAAGATCTTGTGAATACGAATCGCGCAGCAGCCAAAGCCAATGCTGCTGCGAACGAAGCGAAGGCGAACGCTGCTAGAAACAAAAGAAAATTAGCACATTTCAGAAAAATGCGTGCGCCACGTCTAAGAGCAGAAGCTTCTTCTTGAGCAGAACTTTCTTCTACATATTATTATATATCGAAAAACTTATCATTACACATTTAAGCAAGACTTACATGATTTTTTTTTTAATAGCTAAAGTGTTAATTCTAACGAATTAAAAAACTAGCAATTAAAAGCTAAAAACTTGCAGCTCAAATACAAGTTATATTTAAACATTTTTTTTACTAATAAAAAGATATTATGTCAACTTTAATTTCTTAAATTATGTCAGTTATTAGCGAGATTTAAAGTGTAATATAGCCGTTACTGCATAAAGAAGAAAAAAATTCTTAGTATCTTTTGAAAATAAAACAATAATAATTGTACCAACAAATATATAATATTACAAACAACATAAAATAAGAATAATCTGATTAAATTCTTTGTCTTTTATTCAATTTTCTTGATAAAATGTTTTGAAGGTACTTTATAAGATGTAAATTTTAGCAATTCCATTTACGTATAAGTAAATAATATAGCGTAATAAGTAGATTTGCGATTTATACGACGTAGTAAATATTATATAAATATTATGAAATTATATAAATTATGAAATTATATAAATATTATGAAATATTATAAAATTTTTAATTATCTTTGGAAGAGAGAGTTTACATAATTTATGAGAAAGAGAGAATCTCTTACAAGGTAAAATATATTTAGATAAAAAATACGATAATTCTTTTTGCGTACATTTTATTAATAACTAAAATTTCAGGAAATATTATATAGTATATTTATGATGATTATAATATTTCCAAACGTCAAACTAAACAAAGATAATGAAATCAGTAACATTGAAATAGGAAGCTAAGACCGTCTCTAAGAATCAAATTGAAAAACATCTCAATGAAAATGATCTGTCAGGTAATACTAATTAACTATCTAATGGAAAAATGTTTATATGCTATAATTTTTTATACACAATTATATAACATTGTACACGTGCTGACATTTACATTGAAATCATGACTTAGTTCATGAATTGAAGCGGGCGTTACGCTTCGATTATTTCTTACCTTTCTAGAACGCCACAAATGTAATTCCGTTCACACCTTTGGTGTAATATTCCAAACGCAATGGAATTACATATCCATTATCTAATTAGAAAAAAAATGTAGGAGAGAAAATGTACATTTGAGACAATTCCCTACTTTTGATCGATAATAACTAGTATTTTCTTAAATTATAAATTTTCTCACGTGTAGCAAAAAGACTTTCTCTTCGAATCCTTGGCTTGTAAATCCTTGATTTATATTTAGCCCTTTCATAACGCTCCATCGATGGCTCGTTGATTCTGAATTTTTATTATCCAAGAAGATTATACATGTAGATAATTAAATACGATGCGGTGAACTTGTTAAGTTTATATCAAGCTTTGAAAGTGAAAATTTTTTAAACATTTTCATTCCGATACCTCGTGAAATTTAATCGCAAATTATTAGCAATTATTACGACAAAGTTGATACTGTCAAAATTCAAACTATCACTAAAAATTTTTTTAATGTGCCTATATACGTTTATAACATCATATATATATATATATA